AATCAGATTACAGTAACGTGTTACAAGTCCGCGTTACAAGTAACGCGTTATTGCCCTCTGGTAATCACCCATGCTGAGCTCACTAGCTTGCCTTGGTAAGTCTTATATTGAATGTTCACCTTGTTAGGGGGGAAGAAGAACAACAAATAAATAATAAATATCAAACAAACTATGACAAAAAGAAGATGACTTGCAAATTGCATAGTGTTGCTGATTTTGTCCACTTTCAAGTAAACATAGAGTCTGTCAGAAAGAGACAGATCTCACATTATGAAAATATGTGGCAAACCAAGAAAAGGAAGAAGTATTTGCAAAGAGAAAGAGTCAAAGAGAAGTTCTACTTCCTCATCACTCCGTTTGAGCTTTATCAGATCATAGATGGTAGAATCATTCAGTAATTAGCCTCAAAGATGGGGGTTAGAATGGGCCCTCAATGCCTATTAGATTGTCATGAGATTTGTTATCATTCATTCAAATGGATGATCACACACAGTAATACTCCAGATCTGGAATAAGCACTTCAAATATAACGTTAACACTGCGTAACAAATTCATTCGCAAAGATATGAACCCATCTTTGTGCTGCTTGCTTAAAGTTACTGTCACAGTTGTCATATGTTTCTCATGCAGGAAGTCAGTCACAGCGAAAGTAAATTGGAAACATTTACATTATGCAAAAATTGCCAGACTATCAGAAGTGAGCAATGGCAAACCAGTTTACAGTAAACATTTGCTGTCCGAAGTTTTAAATACCCTACAAAATTAAAAGCCAAAAGCACATCTTTGTGACTATGATGAAAAGTTCATAATCAGGTTTTGGGTCAGGCTACATTGTGACTGTTTCCCAAATACTTATTTTGCAAGTTTCTTTGTGTTCATATCTCAGGGTAAAGATGGTTTACAGTCTTACAGTCCCTAAATGTAGAAGCCCTAGGATTGTGTGTAAGGAACGACGGTGTGGAAAATCCACACGTATCTTTAAAATTCTCTTTCCATTACTGATGTAGTAATGTTTACTTTGCTGTGTTAGGCTCCTTGGGTTTGGACGCAGTGTCTTGAGTTTATGTAGGTTTTTTATTCATTCCTTTTATTCGTTCTATTATATGATTATATTTTAGTTCTTTATTGCTTAGTCCTTTGGTTTTTGGTATTTTTCCCCTCTGCTTCCTACTTTAGTTATTTATGTTTAGTTCTTTGTTCCTTCATCTGGTTAGTTCCCTTTTGTATCAAGTCTGTCTTGATCTTTTGTCTCCATGTTTGTTTCTCTGTCTGGTCTCCGTCACTGTATTTGTTTACTTTTCTGTCAGTGTCAAGTCAGCAATTTCTATTTCCTGCTTTACTTTAACAGCTTATGTTCCGCTGTCGGTTATAGTCTCGACTGTGTGTCCTTCTTAAAGTCTTAGTTTAGATGTCTGGAAAGAAGCTTCACACACTAATCAGGGATTATTACCAGCTGTTTTCATGTGACAAAATAGCAATATTCCTAATGTTATATTATTTAAAAAAAATCATTCCATCTAAATATTTTACTGAATTTCTTAACACACAGCTCATATCCAGTAATGGAGTATGTAATCCAAATTTATGTAATGAGCAATTATAAACCTGAGAAAGCAGAAATATTTTACGGTTTGTTGCCATTTTACAGGAAATAAGGAAGCTGGTCTTTCCATAGAAACATAAGCCATCAAAAAGTATTTGGTGGTTAAAATGGGACAAACTGCATGATATATGTTGTTTGTTTTGAATTCTAACATGCCATTGACCTTCAAAAAGCTGTTCAGACACAGCAATGGGCCAGATGTGACCCGGGGGCCATTCAGTGCTCAGGTTTCCTCTGAACAGATTCATCCTGCCTGCTCTCCATCACTCCATCTGTAAGGAAAATCTCTCCCAGCCAACAACTCTCCTGGCATTTATTCACTTACCTGGGATCATCTGATTACCTGATTGTTTTCTTAGAGTTGTAGGTAGTTTTCCGTGACTTTGCACAGGCTGTAGTAAAAAAACAATTGTGGTCTTTTATCTCTCTCAGTATTTTGTCACCTTTGACTCTCTTGTGTAGAACATTGGGTAGCGACACTATCACAGTCCTGTTTGTGCGTGTTGCAGCATTTTTTACTGTACAAAAACCAAACGTGGTTACAAACTTACCATACTGCTCTAGGCCTGATGAACTGTCTCACTCACCTGTCAGTTTTCAAACATTTGTTCACAGTGTCAGTCTGTGGTTGTGAAAGTGTCTGCTCACTCGCTGCTGTCAGAGCATTTTCTTTTCTTCATATGTCATAATGAAAGTCAGTACTTTATTACATTTGCAATCTGTGCTGTGAAAGTGTGCGAGACGTTTCTGTTTGGTTTTTATTACTATTTCTATTAATAATAACTGAATTTCCTTGAACTGTAGAGTTTTGTCATGTCTTTGTGAAAGCATTGGTGCAGTAAGCTCTTCAGTGCTGGGCAGAAACTCAAAGTAGTACTTTTATTGAAATATACTGTTACATAAGATTTTCCATTATATTTCTCTGACAATTATTCTTGGTAGTTATTTGATTGTATACTGTTAGATCATTAAAAGTATATATGATTATATATCAAACAGATTTCAGACAATTTATTTTAAAAAAGCAGTGTGTTTTTCCACCACACTAATTAAATTTTTATAAGATATTTCAGAAAGCAGCACATAGGTTAGTTTGACTAATATATCCAGCAAGTGTAAGTTTGTAAAGTTTATGTAACATACCATCCCCCCCACAGACTACAATAAAAATAAAAATGAGCACTGAAACTAATAAAGATGAAATGAGCAAAGCTAGATTAGAAACAGGGGGAAACTGAGAATTAACAAAAATGTGTTAACAGTGACCTTAAATCTTCCAGTAGTTGCCGAGATATTTCACTATTTCTGACAAAGTTTCATACATTTAAATGCCACAATTGTCTATGCTAAATATAATTGCAAATTAGATGAGATTAATGAGATTTCACCAAAAGGATGGACAGATAAGTCAACTTCTAGTGTAGCTTTAAAGAAAATTATAGATGTGTTTTGCATGATTTAGTCAGTGCATTGCAATGCAGGAAACTACAAGTAAGCTTAGATGAGATTAGCAACACTGCTTCAGCTGAAGGCAAAAGTAACACTAATAAACACTCATTACAACCAAGGTACACTGAAACACACAACACAAGACCGCAACCGGGTGCCACTCCCGTCAGCTGAGAACAGAAACTAAAGCTACAGTTTATATATTCACCAAAGTTGAACAAGTGAGGAAATGATGAGTCTTGAGTTCTGCTGTGGCATTGAGATGGTGGGTCAGAAGTTGTCATAAGAAGAAAGCATGGATCTATTGCGCCTCTTATAATTGGTTCTGGCTGGTGCTGTTATAGGATTAAATTGCAGTAGAATCAGTAACTTCAGGATTTGATTTATACAGAAAACTTCACCAATGATTTTTCTGTTCTTCTGTTTGCATTAACTGCAAGCTTATATGACATCTGTCTAAATGCTCCTGATGTACGTTTTGCCTTGAAACATTTCCACTTCAACCGGATTGTTTCTGTAATTGTTCAAGGAAATGCACTCCCATAATTATGAGTTCAGGAAGCACCACCCTGATAAACACAAGATATCTGAAAACTCTTGGGGAACAAGAGAGAACAAAGCATCATCTGTGACATCCTTCATGACCAACATGCTCGCTGGGTGTCACCTTGCTGAGTCATTAAAATTTTGAAGCTGGGAATCAAACATGAGATGTGGAATCTTGTCTGTGTATATGCCCCAAAAGCTGGATGCAAGTTAGATGAGAGAGGGGAAGTCTGGAGTAAGATGAATGAAGTGGTGCAGAGTATTCCCAGAGGGGAGAGAGTGGTGACTGGGACAGACTTCAGTGGACATGTCAGTGAACTGAACAGAGGTGATGAGAAAGTGTTGGACAGGCATTATTTTAAGGAGGAGGAATTGGGATGGACAGATGGTGGTGTATTTTGCATAAAGAAAGGAAATGGATGTGGTGAAGAAAAGGGAGGAACATAAAAGTGGAACAAGGTGCAATCTAAAAGCGATAGCAAAGTGGTGTCAGGGGAGAATGAAGCTAGACAGCGTCGAATGGGAGTGTGTGTAGGATCACTTTGGAAACCAAGAAGAGGAAGAGAGTAATTATAGGATAAAATTGTTGGTTAAACGTTGCACAGAGTTTGGGGAGGAGTCTAAACAGGCTCTGAATGGTATGGAAGTGTTGCCAGCTAGAGCTAGAGCTAGAGCAGATGAAAGAGAGCAGGAGACATGAAGAGAATACATGTATGTGAATGAAAGTGAGGGAACTGAAATGATAAAAATGTAAGAATAGTGCACAAGATACGTGAAGAAGAGATTGGAGGAAGGGTCGAGTGGTTGGAGATGAGAGTCCGGGGGATTTGTGACAGGAGGACAGCAACAAGAGTGAAGTGTGATTTATGATTTATGGTTTGAAGACTGCATTGACAAAAAGACAGGAGGCAGAGCTGGACATGCTGACATTTTCATTGGGAGTGAGCAGGATGAACAAGATTACAAATGAATATATCAGAGGGACAGTTCAGGTTGACAGTTTTAGAGGTAAAGTTAGAGAGGCAAGACTGAGATGGTTTGGGTGTGTGCAGAGGAGGGATAGTGGATGTACTGGACAGAGTATGCCAAAGATGGAGCTGCCAGGCAGGAAGAAAAGAAGAAGACCACATAGAAGATGTGAAGAAGGACATGCAGAGGGTTGGTGAGACAGAGGAGGATGCTGGGAATAGAGTCAGATGGAGTAAGATGATCAGCTGTGTATATCCCTGAAATGAAGCAGCTGAAAGAAAAAGAAGATAGTTTCCCATGTACAGTTTCATCAATGATATTGTGTAAACACACTTTATTGTCATGTCTGAATGCTATTTACTTTACACTAGGCACACATATTTTGCAGGCAATTTTCCAGACGCCATAAAGTTTGATTTTGTGTCTGTCTTTAAACTAGTGGTGACACAGTTTGTACTGATTGGTTGCAGAGTTGAAGGGATTGACTGACTTTGCTTTGACATGTATGAAAAAGGTTTAATTTTTTTGTGTGTCTTTTGCAGAGATGATTCTGTCATGAAAAAGCCTCAACTGTTTTGAAAATGACACAAATGATACAAATGATGTTGTGCAGCAATTTAACAGTCAAGTCAAGTTAAGTTTTTATTTGTATAGCACGTTTAAAAGACATCAAATGTCGGCCAAAGTAGTCAAAATAAAAAGAGAAATTATAATAAATGAGGTAAAAAAGATTACAAGACATTCATTTATACACAAGCATACTCATTATATGGAAATGTCTAATAACCATATATGTGTGTGTGTGTGTGTATATATGTATGTATATATATATATATATATATATATATATATATGTATATATATATATACACACACACACATACATATATGAAGTTAGGGAGGTCATCAAGTTTGATTTGAACACTTTCAAATTTAAAGGCTAATTGCATTACATCAATTGAGCACATGAGGTCCCCATTGTGCTGAAGCTTGTTCTGCTACTGGCTCATGGAAGAAATATTCACAGCCAACAACTGATTTTGGAACCAACAGCCAAAAGACCCAACTAAAACTTTTGATTGCAAATAGCCCTCAATACCTTTCACAGAGGTACACCATCAGGAGAAACAAACCAGGCAAATATATGGAGCGCCGTGGTGGCCAATCATATATTGCAGTGACAACTCTAACACCCATTAAACCTTCCACATTTTGGGCCACTGCTGCCCCAAAACACCTTTAAGTGGTGTCCCTTGTGGGAATGTGCAGGAGTACTTCCTGTGACTTCCTCTCTTTAGGCAAATTGTGAAATTGTAAATTGAAAAACTTTGCTGTAATGCAAAGATTGGCCAATGTTTGTTCTAAACCACCGAACCAAGCATGCATTTACTACCCTTTCGGCAGGCATGCATTGAGACAAGAAAAAAAAAAAGCTTTAAGGGAAATATAGACCAGTAGCATCTTGTAGGCTTTACTTTATGTATCCATTGCTATGAAGATGTAACTGTTGTAATGAGTAATGTAAAAGAGTATCTTCATTTGAAGCGTAACATCCTGAGTCTCTTTATGCTTGTCAGCGGAGGATGAGGTACATTTCAGGATGGTTTGAACTCGACATCACTGCAGAAAAGATCGTGTACCTGCACGTGTAACAGTTCAGTACTCGCTTTTATTCTCTTTGTTTTCATCAGGTTGATTTCAAATTTGTTTTTGTCAAAGTAACTAAATTTGAAAAAAAAATGAGCTAGAAATCTTAAATTAAACCAGCTGTGAGCTCACCTCTTTCAGTCTAACATCACTGTTTCAACTGTATCTGAAAGACAGAATAGTTTTATTAAAAGGAAATGAAACGAGACTAAAGCCATAAAATAAATTGCTGCTCTGTATTAGAAATTCAGAGAAGTAGAACTCACCTGTGTAGACCCGATGCTCAAAGACAACGTTACGTCTGAGTGATAAAAATAGAGATTTGTGATTGGCTATGGTTTCAGTATCTGATTTCAACTGTAAATGTTTAGTTAAATACATTTAAAAAATGCTGTTGTGATACTAATATGTCATGATCAAATCCTCATCCTGGAGTTTTGTGATTGGTTACAGTATAAACACCTGATTTCAGCGGTGAATTTTCTCAGCTATAAGTATTGACTTGCTGACAAACGTTGCGCAGTAATATTTAATAATGACACATTCTTGGTCGTGGAAGAAATATGCTTTCTAACAGCTCACAGACACAGACAGACACACACACACACTTGTACAAACCTTCTTCTTCTAATTATGAAATAAGTCGTGGCTATCATGGCACCATTTATCAGCAAGAATACTCCAAAAGCGATGAGTTTTGGTAATCTCACCATCTCACCTTGGTATCGTTATGGGAGAAACACAACAATAAGATTATAACCTCAGACACATGATGTAAGGTAATAGTTCTGATGTTGTTATTTAATAATTCAAACCTATGAGAGTAACTGTTTTTCAAACAAATCATGTTGTTGAACTATTTCCATGCAGCCTTTGTTCCTAAATATTTGCACGGATGTGACGAGGTTAGCACAGTCGCCTCACAGTAAGATTACAATCCCATAGTCCAAATGCATCCTTTCCAAATGCATGGGAATTAGCAAACGTCAAAAGTATAACTTTAGCAAATGTTGAGGGTTGTTTAAAAATATTAATTTAGTGTTTCTGAATCAAACAGATCAGATAACTTTACTTACCTTCAACAACAAGTTTGGTGATTCTTTCAAATTTACCACTGGGAAAGGCGGAAATGCTGCAGGTGTACAACCCCGCGTCTTCCATTTCCACAGCCTTAATAATCAGCGATTGTCCTGCCAACTTCACCCTCTGGCTCAGTGGAGAATTGGGAATATTCAACCCAAGCTGACTGTTATAAACAATAAGGGGGACTCCCTCTTGCTCTGGTTGCAGGAGAGTCCACTGAACCTGAGTAATATTTGTATTCTCTGGCTGCTGGATTAATTGGCAGGGCATGGTGACATCATTTCCAATAAATGCAGACACTTCAGCCGAGGCTTTGAGTTGTTTTGCACCCAGAACTGCCAAAATTAAATTGTGACATGGTGGCAAAAAGTTAGCGCTAAAAAAGCTGCTTTTTTTCCACTATTATTTTAGTAATAACGTTAATTCTAATAACATTTATTCTAGAATATACTGTGCAGAAAAGAAGCACAAACATTAGAGTCTTACCTGTGTGTAATGAAATGTAAATAAGCGTGAACAGCAGGTGGGATATTCTGTTGCAAATTTTCATTGTGCACAACAGGCAGCGGACAAAAAAGAAGACGTCTTAGGAATCACAGTGTTCCTGATTTGGTCCACTTTGATGTTAACACAAAGTCTGGCAGCAGGAGACTCAAATTGATACAACATGTGGCAAACACCGAGAAAAAGTGTTGGCAAAGAGAACCACAATGACAAAGTGTGAGTAAGCACACAGAGTTCCTCTTTGTCCAAACCAAAGAGAAGAACAAAGCAAAATTAAAATAAAATTAAAACAACACAACCAAAAGAGAATTTAGAAGTAAAAAAATTAATAAATCTTTAATTGGAGATTTTGTTTATTTGTGTTTTTTATTTGATGGGATGGAAGGAAATAAGAAAATAAGTGTTCAACAGATTGTGATGTGTAATAGTTCTGTTTGTAATTATCAAGTTTTATATATGAAACTTAATTTTTCCACAATTTAATTTAAAAAGCCAAACTTTAGATGCATGTATTCTATAGGCATTAGATCCAAAGTGGAAAATTAAACCCCTTTTTGATGATTATGGCTTCGTTAAAATCAGGAAACAGTGTCTCAAATCTTTAGAACAAGCTCCACCAAAACTTGTTTACAATACAGAAATGTCCAACTTGTGAAAAGTATATTTATTTATATGCTCACCACTACTTCATCAGTGTGCCATAGCATGAAGGTGATCAGCATGAGGCACTGGGTGTTCTGATAGAGGCTTTCAGCTCATCTGTAATTCGGAGTCGGGTGTTTCTCATCTTCTTCTTGATAATATGTCGCAGCGTCTCTGTGGGGTTCAGTTCATGTATGTTGGATGCTACGTCCTGCTGGAGAAAGAAAATCAGCATCTTCATAAAGCAGGTAAAGCCATGAAATAAGTGTCCTGGTAGTTGGCTGTGTTGACTGTGTATTGACTTTAGACATCAGCAGATCACATAGCACCCAAAATCATCACAGACTGTGGAAACTTCACACTGGACTTCAAACACTTGGATTCTGTGACTCTCCTCTCTGCTCTTCATTCAGACTCTAAAATTTGATTTCCAAATTAAATGCAAAATTTCTTTTCATCTGAAAAGAAGACTGGATCACTGAGGACCAGTTCAGTTCTTCTCCTCAGCCAGGTGAGGCTTGTCACATTGTCCCTTGCTCAGCATTACTGGTTAACATGACTTTCCTGACGATGTCTGTGTGTGGTGACTCTCGATGCACTAACACCAGCCTCAATTCAATCTTTATGAACCTCTCGCAAGTTCTTCACTCAACTTTTCTTGACAATTGTTTCAAACAACAGACATCACTGTCACCTTTCCAAGAACTAATTAAAATACTTCCAATGTACCTAAAAGACAGTCAGTATATTTTGGTACAGCGCTCTGCAAACAGCCTCTTTAGCTATGACCTTACCACCTTTGTGGAGGGTCTTGATGACCGTCTTCTGGACAATTTTCCCATTACTGTTGCGGTGTGTTCTGAACTAAACCAAGACACATGTTGTATTTATACTGTTTGCGCAGAAATTCACTTAAATTCAAAATGAGCTCTTCTAATCTTTTGAGATTTTGAGACAGCACCCCGCCCCCCGACTCCATCACCTGGGAAAGTGATCATGTTTTAAGACAGATTCTGTTATTTAATCTGTTAGCTCTGTTACTCTTGAGTCTTATTCCTGTCTATGTCGGTGGGTCCTTCATTTTCTTCTCCAGTCATGACAGCCAGTTTCAATTTGGTTGCAAAGTTTTGAGACTTGAATAGTAATTGCAAGTAGACTGTTTGGTTGGTGCTCATTTTTTTCTTTCTTCTTTTCTAAATCCTCAAACTTAACAACAGCCTTAAACACACACAAAACATGTAATACAGGACTAGATTGTGGTTGTGAAAGTGAAGTTTGCTGGACGTTTATTCTGTTTAAAGGTTTTCTCTTTGACTTGATTGTTGCTTGCTTCTGTACTGTTAGATATGTTCGATCAAGGAGTGTTTTTGGTTGCAGGTAGTTTTCCATGACATGGCGCAGGCTGTAGTCGTAACAAAGCTGTACTCTTTTATCTCCCACAGTATTTTAATTCAAAACATTACTTAAAGATTATGTGAAAATCCCGCCTGCAGGTGTTGTAGTGTTTTTTACTGTATGAAAAAAAGGGTGAAAATGTGGTTTGCAAACATACCACGCTGGTCTGTACCTGACAAACTGTCACCTGCTGGTTTTCAGACAGCATTTCCTCACAGTGTCAGTCTGTGGGTGTGAAAGTGTCTGCTCGCTCAGTGCTGTCAGAGCATGTGTGAACAAAATCAGTTTTTCTTGTTGCAAAGTAATTTCGAAGGCTCATTTGAGCTGAATTTGTTGTGTGCGTTTTCATACTGAAAGTCAGTTCTTAAGAAATTTGATCATCTTTATAACCTGTGTTGTGAGAACAGAGTTGTGTTTTCTATGTAGCTGTCTCTAGATTGGCAGAAAAAAAACTCTGTTGCTAAAGTTTGGACAGATCTGACAGGTTGTGATTTTTTGAGTTTTTCCCTGTGAATGAGGTAGCATGGGGGCTGTGCATTACTCAGTGTTGGAAAGACAGTGAAAAATGTACATTAATGGAATTTGCAGTTAAGTTGTATACATCCTATCATTACTTTACTATATTTTTCTTAACTAGTTTTAGTCCAGCAATGACTAAAAAACACCCACTGATAAAAGTTAAACTAACAAAGACTTTTGACTAAATATTTATTTTATTCTTTTAAATAAAAGAAATTAAAAGGAGTTAAAAGGGAGTTTTTCCTTCCCACTGTCACCATAGTGCTCGCTCATAGGGGGTCATTGTTGTGTTTTTTCTCTGTATGTATTATCGTACGATCTACTTTACAATATAAAGTGCCTGGACGTGACTGCTGTTGTGATTTGGCGCTATATAAATAAAATTGAATTGAACTGAATTGAATTGAATAACCTCCAGATATTTTAGCAAACAACCCATGGATTCATAACTATTCGATTATTATATAAAACAAATGGTTTTAGAAACAGTACATAAAACACCCTCCACACAGACTCAAATCTCGAAATTACAAAAGAATATGGTCATGTTTGGCATTATTTACGACCCAAAAGCAGACATGTGCTGTTTCTCCAGTCTGCAACAAATTGTTTAATGAATTTTGGAGCAATTACAGAAAATTCTTCCTCAATGTTGAATTATGAAGACTTTGCATTATGTGGTCTATATAATATCAAAAGATTCAGACAATCTGAAGAAAACTCTGTACAAAACAACAAAGCTGATGATCAGGATTGACCCATGTCTATAATCTTCAGACTCTCAGGCAGCACTGCATTAAAAACAAGGATGATTCTCACACAACATTTCTAGAAGTTGTTGTCTGTAGAAATGTAGGTTATCATTGCAAAGAAGAAAGTCATATGTGAGCATGACCCAAAAACATCATCATCTTCTCTGGGCCAGTGCTCATTTATAATGGACTGAGGGGAAGTGGAACTGTTCTGTGATCAGACAAATAGAAATGTGAAGTTATCTGAAAGTAACGCCGAGAAGGCCTTGCAGATTTCAGCAAGACAATGCTAAACTGCATACTGCAACTATTAAAACAAAAACTGTAGTAGAAGAGTCTGAGAGTTTATCTCGTCTGCCTGCATCCCTTAGGCAGCTGAAAACGTTTTGTACATCATGGAAAGAAAACTACCACAAAAAAAGACCCAAGAATTCTTTTTCAGGCATGAATGGGACAACATCCCTCTCACAGAAGTCCAGCAGCTGGTCTCCTCAGTTGTCAGTTGTTTACTGACTGCTGTTCAAAGAAGAGGGGGCGCTACTGAGCGGTAAAAATGGCCCTGTCCCAACCTTTTTTAGGCACGTTGTTAAAATGAAATAAAAGTACACATTTTCTCAATATAAGCATTTCATACATTTTCTATATTATATATTTTTGGATAAATTTACATTTACATATTGTCCCAATTTATTTGGAATTGGTGTTTTGTTTTGTTTTTTGTATTGCAGGGACAAAAAAGAACAAACAGCCACAGTGAGATACTTTCTGCAAGCCTCCAACATTTTATCAATGCAAATAACTTCTTCTTTTACCATGATGCAGTGAAAAGCTTCTATGGTAATCTCCACTACTGCAAAAACAAACTGCACCTGATTTTAATTCTGCAGTGTTTATATTGTATGTATTTCTGCAGGAGATTTAAGTAACACAGCCAACTCCTTTTATCCTGCAGAGGAGTGCTGCCACTAATGCCACAAAATACAGAAAGTTATTTTTCCTTTGAAAACCATCAAAGAAGAAGTTGAAGATTAAAGTAGAAAATTACACAATCAATAGAGAAGGCACTGGGCAATGAAGAAACCAGTATGTCATGCCAATGTTTACGTGGCAAATACAATGGAAAGTTAACTTGATTATTTATGATATGAAACTTTACTTCTGCAGCTTTAAATCAAATACAAGAAATGAAATGAAAAGATGGAGTGTATGGTTTGTAAGTTTTGTAAAGCTGCAGTCTGTTGTGAAGAACATTGCTCAGTATAAAAGTCACAATCCTGTCCTCAGGTGTTGCGTTGTGAGTGTAATTTTTGTTAAAATATAGTTTGCAAAGTTTCTGTAATGGTGCAGCCGTGTACAGAACACCATCATTATCACTGGCAGTTTTCTAGCATTTGCTGTGTGATTTCACTGAGGGTATGAAATATTGTCTGCAGTAAACTTTTATTTCTTTATATATTTATTTGCTGTTTACAATATTAAGCTCTTAAATCAAAGTTTCTTTATTTACTATTTAATGTTTTGGTTTTTATGGTTGTTGTTTTGTTTTGTTTTTTTGACAAATTCAAGAAACTTCAATGCAGCGCTTTATCTGTCATTTAGTCCCATAGAGAGTGCATAGATCTGCTACCGCTATACTTTTGTACATACTTATTTGTTGTTGTTGCTGATGCTACTGATGTGTAAATTTTTTCATTTTCACAGACCTTACCAATTCTGCGGTTTCTCTTTTCTGGTATGA